TCTGCTCCCATGCTGGAGGAGGCACTGTGCCAAGCTTCAGGCTTTTTTCTGCTGATATTTCCAGAGCTAGTCTGTAAGTTTTTGGTTCTCTCAACATGGTATCCTCTAAGGAGATGTTGTTTACTACTCTCCTGGCCTGTGCTCTGGTCTGTGATTAACCACAAGCACCCTTTTCTGCCCTGGAACTGTGATCAGGGCCCCTACTTTTGGCTACAAGCACTAGTGCTCCTCTTTGCCCTGGGATTGAGATCTGAAATTGTGTAAGGGCAATGCAACAGCATCCTGCCCCTTTTGCCAGCAGAAGATCCCCGTAATCTCCTTCTGACCAATTGTCCAACCCCCTTACAGTCTTGGCCTGAGAGCTCCTAAAGCTGCTATTGCTGATGCAGTCACTTCCAAGGCCTGCTGCTGGGTTGCTGGGACTCAGCCTGTACTGTACTTTGCTCTAGGCCTGACCATCATCCTAGGAGACAGACCTTTCCTGTCAACCTCTTAAATTGTCTTGGGCTGGAAAATTGTTTCATCCCAACCTTTTGTTGGTTCTGCTGCTCCAGAATTTGATTTGAGGACTTAAAGTTGTTTGGAGGGGAATCTGTGAGAGTTCAGGTAAGTTTCTGACTTTACTCCACCATCTTGGCTCTGCCTCCTCTAAGGGACAGTTTTAAAATATGGCTGTATAAATATACATACCATGCAGCCCAGTAGATAGTGTATAGCCTTAGAGTCAGAAAGATGGGTTCAAATCTTGCTTCGGACACCGACTAAGTATGTCATCGTAGGTGAATTACTAATCTTCAACAATTGAGGAAGCTCCCACACAGTAAACTTCCTCCACTGATGAAGTCACAGGTCTTTATTTACAAAAAAATACCTAAATGTGTGCCAAGACAGCCCATCACCCTCAGGTATATGTATTGTGTAGTAAGTAACACATGTCGCTGTCCAAAGCTTCCTTCCAGCAGACAGCGGATACAATTTTCAAATCTTGCTTGAGCCTACAACCACCTCCTTCTGTCCAGAAACTTCCTGACTGCTTGAATAAGGACCAGTCATTAGATCACAGATCACAAGGTCACAGAATTTCAGAGCTGAAGGGTAACTTGGAGGCCATCTAGTGTGACCCATATCTGAAAAAAAAACCAAAACCCTTTATAACATGGCCAAAAATATTCATCCAATCTTTGCTCAAAAGACCCCCATAAGGGGAGCCCCCCACCTCCCAAAGCTGCCCATCCTATTTTTGGATAGCTCTAATTATTAAAATTGTTTTCCTAACATCAAGCTTAAATTTCCCTTTTTTCCATATCCATTCATTTCTCCTAGTTTTGCATTCTGGCACTAAGCAGAAGACCAATCTACTTTCTTTTTTAAAATTTTTAAAAATTTTGTTTTTTTTATTTTTTAGGCAATTGGGGTTAAGTGACTTGCCCTGGGTCACACAGCTAGTAAGCATCAAGTGTTTGGTCTGAGGCTAGATTTGAACTCAGGTCTTCCTGACTTCAAGGCCAGTGCTCTATCCATTGCACCACCTAGCTGCCCCACCAATCTACTTTCTATATGAAAGCCCTTCAAATACTGCAAGATAAATACAGGATCATATATTGTTAGAGTTGCAAAGGACCTTAGAGATATTATAGAGTAACCCTCTCATTTTATAGATGGGCAAACTGAAAGCCAGAGAGGTACATGAAGTGACTTGCCCAATATCACACATAGAGCATAAAAGAACAAATATAGATTTTTCTTTGCAAATAACTTTATTCTTTTTTTAATGTTTAAAAACATCCAAATACTCATGTGCCTAGCATTGAGGAAAACAAAAAACAAATTTTGATTTTTGCCTTTAAAGAGTTGCTCAGAAAAGATATTCTTTCATATTTCAAGGAACTGTGATTTCCTTGGTGTGGGTACTCCCTCTACTGATGCAAATTGCAATCCCTCCATGACTTTGATGATCTTCATGAGTTACTTTGACTCTTTCATTAACTTGTACATTCCTCTGCTACTTACTGGAACTGCTCCTGGGACTACAGATGAACAATGCAGTCCATCATTGGACCCACACTTGAAGCTTTTTCAGCTTGGTAGGATCTGTCAGGGCTTGTATTTTGCTGGCAAAGCCCTTGTCAACACAGGGTCACCTCCACACCATAATGAAACATCAGAGGAGGACTGTAGTAAAGAAGACATCCATGTGAAAAACTTAAACCAGCAATACAAATATGCCAAATGCCAAAGCATTACAGACAATAAGGGCTTATTATAAGTTCCCTCATCTGTAAAATGAGGAGTTTGACCTAGTTGACCTCTGAGATCCCTCCTAGCTTCAAGTCCATGACCCCATGTTGTTGTTGTCCTTTGTAACGGGACCAAAATGACATCATGATGTTGCGGCCCAGGTACATACAGTGTGTCCCACTGTGGTTGATAAAACCAGTAAGAACTCCAGGAGACTCTACCATAGGAAGGGCACAAATAGTTCCACGTTTGGGAAGATGTTTTTAAATGTACACATCTCAACATGACTCCATGTATGTCAAGTCACCATTTATGTTTTAGATTCCTTTGTTCCAGTCCTAAACATCTAGGTGACCTTGGGCAAGTTATTATAGAACTGTGGGCCTCAAATTGCTCCTCTGTAAAATGAGGTGGGGGTGGCTAAATGATACCGATACCGATATGATAAACATTTATTAGGTGCTTACTATAGCCAAGCACTGTGCTAAGGGCTGGGGATACAAATTAGAAAAATAAAAACTGTCCCTGCCATCCAGGAGCTTACAATCTAATGTTCGTTGTTGTTTAGTCCAGTGTTGGACACTTCCAGACCCTTTCTTGGTAAAGATAATGGAGTGCTTTGCCATTTCCTTCTGTATCTTATTTTACAGATGAGGAAACGGAGGCAAACAGGGTTAAGTGAATTGCCCAGACTCACACAACTAGTGTCTGAGGCCAGATTTGAACTAATGAAGACGACTCCAGGCGATTGCCTCTATCCACTTGACTACCTAGGTGCTCTGCAACCTAGAGAGGGAAGACAGCAAAAAGAAGCTGAAAGGGCAGGGGTGGGGGTGGGAGACTCGGTAGGGGATTGTTGGAGTTGAAACCAAGCTGAGCCAGCAGCAAATGAAGAGATGACTGGGATTCTGCATCTTCTATAAAAGAGAGGCTATGGTAGGAGTTTTTGTTCCGACCTCCATTTAATAGTTAAATGATAACTAATTATTTGCATGTGATCTCCCTAATTAGAATGTGAACTCTCTGTGGTCCGGGAGCTGTTTCTGCTTTTCTACTTATACTCTCAGCGCTTAGCACTGTTTCTAGCCCTTAGTAGGCCCTGCCTATTTGACTTGACTTTAGAAATGAGGCACAACATACATATTTACATTGCACTTTAGGGTTTGTAAGGCCCTTCCCCCCACCTCCCATAATCCTTTGAGGTACCAAGTACAAGTATGATTAACCCCCCACCCCCTAAACTGAGGCTCCTACAGGTTTAAGCTTTGTGCCCATGATCATACTGCTGGTGTCAAAGCCTTCAGCAGCATTCCAAGCTAGGTCTCCTTACAGCAGATACAGCACGCTTTCCATTACACCTCACTGATTTATAGTGTAATAAGCAAAGCACTTTGTAAAGCCGAAAACGCTATATAAAGGCGAGTTATTATTATTATCATTATTATTAACTTGAAGAGAACAGATGAGAAAGAAAGGGGAGCCTACTATTACGTTTGGGGCTTAGAGACTGGGAGATGGAGTACTGGAAGCTGAGATTTAATATTTTTTCCCTTCCTCCTAGATGGAAACATCGCCCTCTTTGCACAGGTCAAGCATCCCCTCTCCCTCCCCCAGCCTTATTTAGAAATCATGTCCCCTAGACAGGAAGGGCGGCGGGCAGAGAAGCACAGAGCGTCCCGGTCTCATTTCCTTTTGGGTCCCCCTGTGGAATTTCATTTCATATATTTAGGAAATCAGAGAGCAAGATCTTCGGCGGGTCTTGCTTCCCCAGTCTTGCTTCTCTCTCTCTTTCCCCATCCCCCCAAACTCCTCGACTTCCCACCCTCCACCCCCACCCTTACCCCACCCCGCGGGCTTAGGCCGTCAGTTATGGAAAGAGGATTCCGAGCTGTGGAGGCAACTTAGTAGGGTCTAAGAAGGGTCTCAAGACTTATCCAGACCGCTAAGGAGTTTTTTTGGGGGGGAGCGGGGGAGAGAGTGATGAAGGAGTGGAAAGAGTTAGTGGGCTAGAGTTGACAGCTGGAAGAAGAAGCGAAGAAGGAGGTGGGGAGGAGAGACCCAAGCACTTCCCACCTGGGAGAGGAGTGTGTATTTGGGACTGGAGGGGGAGGGGCCGGTGGGGACGGAGCGACTCCGCTCCATCCCCGCCTGGTCCCTGCAGAGCCCCGCGCTCCGGGTGGGAGGAAAGAGTAGGGAGGCGGAGCGCTGGGGAAAGGGTGGGAGGGAGGGGGTGGCGGGGACTGACCCTTCTACTAGCAGCCCAGTCGCTCCGCCCCTCTCTCTGTCTAGCACCCCCCCCTCCCTGCAAACCCCACCTTTCCCAGGTCGGCGGCGCCGTCCCATTGGAGCTGCCCGCAGTCCGTCAAGTCCCAGCCACCGCCTCGCAAAAACAGCGCCTGGCCAAGGGCTCTGGGCTGGGAGAGCCTTGTGGAGCTTGGTCCAGGGCAGGGGCGGCGTATCGCTGCGCGGAGCAGCCCAGCGAAGCTAGACGCGGAGCGGAGCACGAGAACCTAAGATCCCGGAGCCGGGGTGGCTGCGGCTTGCAGCCATGACCCCGGGAGTCCCCCCCTCCGCCGGGGGCCGGGGCATTTGATACCCTGCACAGCCGTTTGCAGCTGCCCAAGGAGGTAGCCACTGTCCTCCTGCTCCTCTCTCTCTCTCTCCCACTTCTTGCTTCGGCTCTCTTGCTCCAGTCACCCCGGAGTGGGGGCCGCCTCCCCTACCTCGCCTGCCGGCTCTTCTTGCAAACTGGGGGTGTCTGGGCCAGCGGCAGGAGCCGCCGCTGCCGCCGCCGCTGCCGCCGCCGCCGCCGCCTCCTCCTCCTCCTTCTTCTCCCCTTCCCCCTGGCCCTGGCCATGGCTCGGCGGGTCCTGGGACTGAGGGTCCCGAGGGCGTCCGGCGGTGTCTGCTTCAGCCTCCCTCCGCTGCCGCCGCTGCCGCCGCTGCTGCCGCTGCTGCTGCTGCTGCTGGGGCAGGCGCGGGCTTTTGGGGACGAAGAGGAGAGGCGCTGCGACCCCATTCGGATCTCGATGTGCCAGAACCTGGGGTACAACGTGACCAAGATGCCCAACTTAGTGGGGCACGAGCTGCAGACCGACGCCGAGCTGCAGCTCACTACCTTTACCCCGCTCATCCAGTACGGCTGCTCCAGCCAGCTACAGGTGGGCACTGATCCTCCCGATTCCCTACCCGTCCCCACTCGTGCCCAAAAACCCTTCCCCCCAACCTCCCCTCCAACGCCTGGCACTGAACAGAGGCTAGGTCTCAAACGTTCCCACTTTGGATGTCTCGCCAGATCGAGCCCCTGCCTCTGCAGCCTGAAGGGAAGGGTAAAAGTCTGGATGAAAAGTGACTCCCCCTTTACTCCCCCTTCTCAGAGACTGAAAGCCAAATATTGTGTAAGTCATCTGGCCTGTTAAAGAACCCTCTCTTGCACCCCGCCCTAATGTTTCTCTCCCTTTCTCACCCCTGTCTGGCCAAGCCCCTAATCCCGGAGAAGCAGAGGGAGGGAAGGACTGGAGACTGTTATCTCAGCCAGAGATTAGGGGGTCACCGTTTGGTGGATTGGTGCAAGAGAGTGCCTGTCACCCTAGCCAGCTGCAGCATCGAACTGAACGTAAGGGTTAGTGGACTCCTCCTTCTCTACACCCCCTTTTCTATTTTATATTTAAAATAGAAACTCTTCACAATTCATGTGAGTCAGTTAAATAAATTGTCACCCCGTTTATTTTAATTCTCTTTTCTTCAGTACTAACCGCAGGAGTTGACATTCACCAGGTTGCTTCGAGATACAAATCCTGTTGCCCTCTGATAGTTTCCCACATTGCAAGGGACTGGAGATGCCTAGACCTTCCTCAGCCTCAGGAAGGATTTAGTTAAAGGAGAAGGAAACCACTTGTGAAAAGATGGAAGTGGTGAAATGGGCAGCAGAATAAGCTAGAGCAGGTCATATGCTCACGTTTACTTAATATATAAGAAGACCACGTTGGGAGTCAGATCATCTGGGTTCGAATTCCAGCTGTGCCACTTACTAGTTAGGAGATCACTCCCTTAGATAGGAATGGTAAATTACTTACCTTCTTTGTCTCCTCATTTGTCAAATGTGTGGGGTAGATTGTAAAGCTCCCTCCCAGCCCCAGATCCTGTGATCCTAATAATAGGTGTCAGGACAGAAAGCTCCAGAGAGCTCTAGCCTCTGGAGTATAACATCTACAGATAAGGAAGCAAGAAGCTATTATCTCTTTATTGAGTTCACCTCCATAGAGCAGAAGTTCTTAACTCTTTTTTGTGCCATGGACACCTTTGGCAGTCTGGTGAAGCCTGTGGACCCATTGTCAGAATAATGTTTTTATGTATGTACAATTACGAAGGAAACAGAGACATGCAGATATGACGTAGAGATATACATTTTTCTCCCATCCAAGTTGAAATCTACAGAAGGGAGAATAAGAACCCCTGACCACTTTGCTCAAAAAGAGGCACTCAAATGATGATGTGTATAGTTTTTTTTTTCACAGAAGTAATTTAAAAAATGAATTTAAGCCAAGATTTACATTTAAAGAGATATTTGGGTCAGTCCTCTTCCCTGTTGAGTTGTCTTTACCACAGAACAAGCTTTCTGCTTTTGGGAAATTCAGAACTTTGGAGTTGGCTTAAAAGACAGTTTATATGGGCTTAAGAAGTGATCCTCCAGCACTTATTTTGGAAACAACACATAGCCTGACCTCAGTGATGATTTTGCTGGAGGAAAACGCTTCCACAGGGATATGTATTTTTAATTACATGTATGCTGGGGAAGTGGCCAAGTGGTTTGAAGGACAGGACTGGCTCTCTGTTCATGCTGGAAAACAGTCACTTGTAACTGTAGCCTTCACAGACAACATCTGTAAGGAGCCATGGAGACTGTTTATCAGGGCTGGACAAGTTGAGGACAGGGACCATACTCTCATTGGTGACAGCAAAATTTTTAGGGCTTTTGGATGGGGTTTTTAGAATACTCATTTATGAAAGAGTTTCAGTGACAGAAGTCCTAGGTTTCAGTCCTGTACATAGGTCCAAAAATGTCTCCACTGCATAATGGTTTGAGGCTTATATCAAAATATCTATTTCATTGCAAATGGTTGAGGAAGAGAGGGATGTGGGGATTGGGAAGTGTGGGGCACAAAGCAGATCATTTCATTTTACTCTGCGGGAAATAATGATGTGGTAGGAAGTCAAATATCTCTGTCCAATAATAGCCAACATAATTTAGACAGAGGGATATATCAATCACTAACAAGCATTAAGTGACTGGTATGTGGCAAGATAGAAAGGGTATAGTGGCAAGAATGAAGGGCTTGGAATTGGGCTAACTGGGCTTGAAGCCCAGCTCTGTGTAACCTTGGCCAGGTCTGCTAACCTCTCTGAGCTCCAGTTTCTTCATTTACAAAATAGGATTAATAAATCTTGCATGGCCTCCCTCGAAGGGTAGTCATAAGAGCTGTGGTTTTAAAACCATAAAGTGCTACAGAAAAATAGATTATCATTGACTCTTTCAAATGGGAGCCAAAGATGAGTTAGAGTGGCTTGGCTTTTACTTATATATTGTTCTAAAATGGATTGTGTAATCATGTCCCCAAATTTTCTTTGTTCTACTAGAATAATAATAATAATAATAACAATAATAGTAATAATAATATGTTTTTAAAGCATTGTTGGAGTACTAGACTTGGAGTCAGGAGAGCTGCATTTGAGTCCTGGCTCTGCCATTGACTAGCCAGTAAGTTCGCTTCTCTGGCCTCAGTTTCCTCATCTGTAGAAACAGGAAGTTGGACTAAACTGATTTCTAAGGTCTCTTTTGGCTCCCAAGTTCTGTGGGTTTACATGGATGGTTTCTGTAACTATTATCTAATTTAATCTTTGCCACAACCCTCTGGGCTAGATAATGCAAATACTATCCCTGTTTCTCATAGGAGGAAACCAGGGCTCACCAAAGGTAAATGATTTGCTCATGTTTGCACAAGTTAGTAAGTAGCTAAGCCAGGACCCAGGGATCAGACTCTAGGTCTGCTGATTCCAAGTCCAGAGTCTACTCACTAATCCGTGCCTCTTTCTACTGCAAAGAAGTGCATGAGCTAAACTAGGGATGTCATTACTTTGGGAGAATGCATTATTTTTGTGCTATTTGGGGAAGTGACGTGGTATGGAGAGGGCTCTGAATTTGTAATCAAGTTCTGCCTGTGCTGTTTATTAGCCAGGAAAGTTACCCTCTGGGACTCAGCTTCCTCATCTGTATAATGAAGGTGTTGAACCAGGCTATTTATTTCTAAGGTTCCTTCCTGCTCCATTATTCTACCTTAAGAGATAAAATTAAAATACAAATATGAGCCATTCTGAAAACAAACATATGTTGCCTGAATTCTGCTCACTGGTGTATAGGTCAAGCCAAATATAATTGTTTTCTTCTATTTCATTACTTATCTAGTTCTTCCTTTGTTCTGTGTATGTGCCAATGTGCACAGAGAAGATCAACATCCCCATTGGCCCATGTGGAGGTATGTGCCTTTCAGTCAAGAGGAGGTGTGAACCTGTTCTGAAGGAATTTGGATTCGCCTGGCCAGACAGCCTCAACTGCAGCAAATTCCCCCCACAGAATGATCATAACCATATGTGCATGGAAGGCCCAGGTGATGAAGAAGTTCCCCTACCCCATAAGACACCCATTCAGCCTGGCGAAGAATGTCATACCATGGGCACGCATTCGGATCAATACATTTGGGTGAAAAGAAGCCTGAACTGTGTCCTGAAGTGTGGCTATGATGCTGGCTTATACAGCAGGTCAGCCAAGGAGTTCACTGATATCTGGATGGCTATGTGGGCCAGCCTGTGCTTCATATCAACAGCCTTCACAGTGTTAACCTTCCTGATTGATTCATCCAGGTTTTCTTACCCCGAGCGTCCCATCATCTTTCTCAGTATGTGCTACAATATTTATAGCATTGCTTATATTGTAAGGCTGACCGTGGGCAGGGAAAGGATATCCTGCGATTTTGAAGAGGCAGCAGAACCAGTTCTCATCCAAGAAGGTCTTAAGAACACAGGATGTGCTATAATTTTCTTACTGATGTACTTCTTTGGGATGGCCAGCTCCATCTGGTGGGTTATTCTGACACTCACTTGGTTCTTGGCAGCAGGTCTTAAATGGGGTCATGAGGCCATTGAAATGCACAGCTCTTATTTCCACATTGCAGCCTGGGCGATCCCAGCAGTGAAAACCATTGTCATCTTGATCATGAGACTGGTCGATGCTGATGAACTTACAGGCCTGTGCTATGTTGGAAACCAGAACTTGGATGCGCTCACAGGTTTTGTGTTGCGCCACTCTTCACTTACCTGGTAATTGGAACATTATTTATTGCTGCTGGCTTGGTGGCCTTATTCAAAATCCGATCCAATCTCCAGAAAGATGGGACAAAAACGGACAAGCTAGAAAGGCTGATGGTCAAAATTGGAGTCTTCTCGGTGTTATATACAGTGCCTGCCACGTGTGTGATTGCTTGCTATTTCTATGAGATCTCCAACTGGACTCTCTTCCTCTATTCAGCAGATGATTCTAACATGGCAGTCGAGATGCTGAAAATCTTTATGTCTTTGTTGGTGGGGATTACTTCTGGCATGTGGATATGGTCTGCTAAGACACTCCACACGTGGCAGAAATGCTCCAACAGACTGGTGAACTCAGGGAAGGTAAAACGAGAGAAAAGGGGAGATGGTTGGGTAAAGCCCGGGAAAGGAAATGAAACTGTAGTATAAACACAGCCAACTTGCAAGCCCCAAAGGGGGAAATGTTTGCATTTTGGTAGAAATGTGCACCCCCCCCAACCGTTTTATGCAATAACTCCATTTGAACAAGGCTCGTATGTATGAGTACCCAACACATGTTAAAAAACAAAGAGCCCCAAACATGTAACCTTACAGCATTTCTGCTGCCAGCAGTGGCGTTCTCCCAAATAGAAAGGCCAATAGAGGCTTTCAAAGCTGTGAAAAATGAAATTGCTGTTCACTTTAGCAGGTTGTAGCCCTGACATTGTATACAAACCCTGCAGCTTCAGTGGCAAAGTTGCTGCCCCCTACATGATCAGCAGTTATCAGAGCTATGTTTTGTAACTTGCAAGGAGAAAGATTAGCTTTTCAAACCCTTCAAGATTTCGGATACTAACTGGGTCTTTCAAATAGTAACCCAACCAATAAACACTGGAAATGTTGAGTTCAGAGAAGTGTTACAAGGGTTTTCTAGTTTGGTTTTCTCAAAGGTGTTTACAGCATAACTTAAACATTTTCCATGGTGCCCAGTTTGCTCCTCAGAGCTGTGCCAATCATACCCCCAATGGTGATGTAAAAATATTTCATTGTCTTTGTCATGAAATAGGATTGTTTGGACGACGTGTAAAAAGCGCATAGAGGTCCAGTGGATTTTTCTTGTAGGTTAAAAAACAAAATGAAACAAAACAAAAAACCTTATTTCGGTATCTCCTTCTGTTCCAGGATGTTAGTCTTCCACTCCTCTGCACCTCACATTTTGCATTAATGACTTACATGCATATCTTTATGCTAATTAAAAAAATACAGCATGACCAAGGGGGTAGGGGAATGGGGAATTAAGGGTGATTTCACTTTCTGACAATCACTTAATTCAGAGAAAAATGAGATTTACCAAGTCTACTTACCTTACACACCCCAGAGACCCATTGCAATTGAGCAATTAAGACTTAATATATTTTACTTTGTGTGATTGCATCTCTGCAGACGCCAGTCTGGAAGGACTAAAATGTTAAGTTTCTTGGCAACTTTGTGTTCACACAGATTAACTGTGTAATTTGTGTGTGTCAATTACAATTAAAAGCACATTCTCCGACCATGACATAGTCCCCTGCCTGACTTTAAGCTATGGTCAGCTTGCATTCTCAGAATGATAGCGCATTTTTAAAAAAAATGTAAGAATGTTATCAAGAGTCTGGTCTCCTCCATTCAACAATGGAGACATTTTCCCTTCTGTAAAGGGATCTGAAAGGAGCAAATCCAACTCCTTGGTGCACAATTGTTTCCTAGTAATTGGCGATGGCTCTTGTTGGCTCCCTCAGAGGCAGCATGGCCTGAAGTATTTATATGGTGCTTAATGAATCTCCTGACTTCCAGCAAGGACCTTGTTTGGTTAGCAGGGGACATAGTGTAAACCATATAAACCTGCCTAGCGCTGAGAACTCACAGGTCTTAATTGCCCCATTGTTGACTGGCCCCATGCTTTGGACTGTTTGAAAATTTGCTTCAAATTGAAGGAGAGCTCTTTAGCAGCTTCTGGAAAATAGCAGTACTTTTGAAAATGTAGCTGTCCCAAGCATTAACCTGCCTAAGACCTTCTTTAGGCTCCTAGTCTGCAGCAAATGCAGTGTTTGCCATTACTGGGCATACTTTTGATCCTTTCCATCCAATTCATAACCAGCCTTAGATGTAGCCCCTACTTAGCAATGGCATATCATAGGTTCATTCATCTTTTTTTTTTAAACAAACTATGTTCTTTAAGTAGGAAAGCCCTGGCCCCTCTGCTTTATATAGAAATGCATGTAGAGTCTCAGAACTCCAAATAAGTGGCCAGATTTTGGTGATAAGCTGCTCCTTTTATTGCTTGCTTCTGTCAAGTATTGAACACTGTGACTGGTATGATCAGTCAGGATTCTAGGGGGTTGAGAAAGGATCCCTGACAAGGCTGGTGTGAATCAGCTTAGCTTAAATCAGAGACTGTATTGCATGTAGAATGTAAACCTTGAACTCCCTGTTCTGCACGCAGACATTTCCCATAAATTTCCAGGGCCACCAAATGCTTGCACAGGGGCAGAATCTGCCCTTACTCACGCTCTACTCCAGTGCCTAGGGAGTTGTGCATCAAATCTGGCCCAGGGAAAGGAGGAAGAACTACTCAGGAGGGAGAATGACTTAACTGAGGCTTAATATGGATGCCTGGCTGTTAATAGTTCTGGATTTTATAACTCTTTTAATCCTAACATTTCAGTGATCTTGTGACTTGGGCAGTCTAATCCAGTAGGAGAGAATACTTGAGTGGGAAAGTCAGGAGACCAGCTTTCACATGCTGGAGTGTTGGTCATTTGCTAGGTGCTGACATGCCACACTGCTCATCAAGTCTCTTGCCTTCTACGGTAAAAATGTCCACAGTCAGTAGTGGTCACCTCTGCTAGCTGAGTTGAGACTCTGACCGTGTAGATCACCGTGCCAAGTTTTCCTCCTGCTGTCTTTCAAATGAATGATATATTTAAGACTGAGAGTGGGCATTCTTAACCTGTTCTGCAGCACGAACCCATCCCTCTGGCAGCAGTTAGGGAAAGCCTATGGACCCCTTTTCAGAATAATGATTTTAAATACAAAATGTAAAAGATACAGGATTACCGAGGAAACAAATTATATTGCAATATATTAGTATATTACAACAAATTATATTGCAATGCAGTTATTAAAAATATTTTTCTCAAGTATATAGGTTCTAGGCTAAGAGTAGGCAGAGGAATTTGGTGGAATGATGTTTGCATCTGTGTTTTCCACAGTGTATTAGTTGGCTTTTTGCTGTAGCCAGAGACTCAGCCAGTTTATATCTGCTTTGAAGCACCTCTATCCCATTTGGCATTTGAACCCAAAGAATGCCTACTATGTATACAACTCTGTGGACACAAAGGTGCACACATTCATTTTTTATTCTACTGTCAGGGGTTTTCACCATGGGATTGCTTAATTCTGGCCTCGTTTGGGTCTGTTGAACTGCTTTGTCCACTTTACAAAGTGGAGTGGAGTCTCCCTGAAAGCCCATCCATGTGTTCCATAGGCTTTTAGTCCAGTAAGGCAAGTGTAGCCTTCCACTCTTGGCACTCACTCTCATCTCCCTGAGTGATTTCTTCTTCTTTTTTTAAGATTACTCCCTAATGTAGGTGCATGGGCATGGCAGGGGGAGAAGCAACAGCAACTCTGCAGGGAAATTTGTAGACCGTTATGCAAACGGCCTTCTTTTGCAAAGCTGGGATCCATCTCTGTTGGTTTCAGGAAGGCCAGGTATCCTTTGCCCTCCTTTTCGATTAAATTAAGCATCTACAGGGGAGATAGAAAGTTTGGATAAGGTGTGGCCCCTGGCCTCTGCTGGGGGAAGAAGACAAATCCAGATGGCTTTAATATACAGTATTACATGGTAAATGCATCGTACAATTGCAAACGAAGTACTTTGTGAGTACAGGTCTGAGGGGGAAGGTAATTCCACTGGCAGGCAATTCCATTTCTTTTCCTCTGTATTGGGATTCACTGTGGCTTATCTTGATTAATGTTGGGGCAGCATCTTCCCTGGCAAAAAGCCAAGACTGCTTTTCTTCCTTTGGAACTTGGGAGAGGTTGTCATCTGTCACTTCTGGGAAGACTCTTTGGCAGCTGGAGAATTTAGCTATAAAAACCAAAGCCTCTTCATCCACTTTCATATGAGAATCTACTAAACCATTAAACCAGGGTATTCTCAAATCTCTGCTGAACTTCTTCCCTTCCCTCTTCCACCCCTCCTCTTCCTTAGGCCAGGATGAATTTCAGGGCAGAATAAAATGAATTACTGTGGAGTCTGTTTGGGCAAGCAAGGTAGTCTGGCTGGACTTGATTCACGTCCTTTTCTCTAATGCTGACCCATTTTCTGTGCTCTCGGACTGCTGCTAGGTTAGCAGCTTGCTCAGGTGTCCTGGAACTGGACAAAGGGGTGGGGTGGGGAGAAAGCTTCATTTCCGTGAGTTGCCTTTCTTCTGATATCTTCTCATAGATTCTCCCCTACACTGGAGATCTAGATTTTGATTTGGAAGGAAACCTTAAAAGCCATTGAGTTCAACTCTTTCATTTTACAGATATGGGAACTGAGGCACATAGAGGTTAAGTTACTTGCCTAAAATCGGGTAAAAGCCGGATTTTAACCTAAGTCTTCCAGACTCCAAATCTGGCACCCTGTTCGGTATTCTTGGCATCCAGATCCTCAGACTTCGTTACTATTAAGAGAATGACATCATGTCCTCCAATCCTGCCACTTCTTCCCTTCTGTAGGCCTCAGTTCCCACATCCTATCATGGGGGAGATGGACTAGATCAGAGGTGTCAAAGTGCAGCCCACTTTAGTATGTGTTTTTCTAAGTCAGTATTCAGGCCTGCAGGGATCCTGACATAGATTTTAGTGGGCCCCATTTCTATTTGATTTTGAGATAATCACTGAGAACATTTCCAGTTCCGTATCTGTGAGCCTATAATCTTTTTCATAGGAGCCACTGCCAAAGCATGAAAATATGGTGCAACCTTAGGCTGCTTGTAGAAATGGCAGCTTCAGTGCTTCTGTAGGGTAGAGGAGCTGTGAAATCCAGAGCTGGAAGAAGAGTCTAGCACAAACTTCTGTACACTGCATGCGTGCTATATGGAATTGTAGAGAGAATGCTAGAGCTGGAGTCAGGAAAGCCCGAGGTCGCCTCCTGCCTTGGGTACTAGCTGTGTCTGAGTGTGATCGAGTCACTTCGCCTGGCTGAGCCTCAGTGTTCTCATCTGCAAAATGGAAATAATAATAATACCTCTAGTACCTACTTGTGAGGTTCAAATGATATATAATGCATGTAAAGTGCTTTACAAATTTTAAAGCCATATGTAAATCTCAGTTACTATTATTATTATTATTGTTCTGTGCTATAGCAGGCATGTTAGAGAGGGCTTTTGATTTAAATATTCATGCTTTATTGCTCCTTGGCAAATTGCTTATTCTTTTCTTTCTTGTGCTTGGGCCCAGGCCCCTAACTTGGGTTTGTAGCTTGCCTGGAAAAAGGCCTATGCTATCCCCTCCTTAGACCCAAGATAGGGATTCTTTACAGCTGCCAAGAGAACCCTTTGCTTGACCAGGGAGTGAATATACTGCCTTTTTTTTTTTTAAAGCAGTGGCATTTATTTGATTTCACTAGAATATTTTCTCAGCCAATCTGGTTAGCTCTACTTCCTGCCAGCCACTTGGGTAACATAATTTACACAGCGTGAAGTAGGCCCTTGAGGGTGGTGTTGTAACAAAGGTCCTGCTGTAATGCTTTCTTTTGCTAAGGCTAACTGGCCCTGATGGCAGTGACTTGGGCCCCATTTAAGCTTCTCTTTTTTCTTTTTCCTTTTCGAATTGGCAGAGTCTGCAGTATTGATTCAAGGTAGGCCTCAAGTAGAGAGGCTTAGCTCAAATCCATTTATTTCCATTATGCTTGAATTTCTCCCTGGTCTTCTACAGTGTTCAAAATCACCACCATCATTCAATGTGGCATTTAGGTAGACTTAGTGCGTTTGGTTTCTTCATTGCTGTGTTCATCTGTCCTCTCTCTATTTTGAAGAAGAGAGTTTCTGGTCAATGAAGGGCTATTTTTGCTTTCAGGTGGTCTTTGTTTCAGAAATATTTTCATTCCCCATCCATTGTTGACATTCTACTGCTTGATTGTAAAGTCTGTGAAGGCTGAGATCATGTCTTCCTCAGCACCTGTCACTGAAGTGCTGTAAACGGAAGGTGCTTTCTCATTTCACATTTGCTGAGTGAATTAATGATTCACTCAGTTATTGCACTTAGGTGTAGGTCAGTCACTTAAACCACTCACTGCCAGAGTCTCTACCTGTGGGTATTGCCTGGCTCCCACCTACCTCACAGGCATGTTGTGAGTGAGGTTCCAGGAGTATCAACACTAAAGGCCCTTGAGCTCCTTTGAAGGAAAGTGCTTTGAGTATTGACCGCATTTAGAAGAGGGAACAGCTGAAATGTGACTAGCCCTACTGTACATGGCATTGCAGCCAGCTCTTATAGCCCCTCTTCCCACCCTGTTGCCGGCCATCTGGAGGCCAACCGGTGAAGGTTCTGAGATGTTGGACATAGAGGTACCAGGATCATAGTCTATTAAACATGTCCTGAATGAATTTCTGAACTTCAAAGACAATGGACACTGATGTTTTTTACGATGTACAAAAGCAGATCTGCATTGATGTACGTACTGTAAATTTCTAATTTATCACTGTACAAAAGAAACTTTGCTATTTAATTTTTGTATCAAAGGAGAATAAAGTTTTGTTTATTAGCCCTTGTGTGAATAAGGAATATCTTTTTTCTTTTAACATTTTTCTTGCTATCTTGTGTATTTGTCACTGACATTTCCCAGTATTTATTTACCCTGCCTCCCCATCCCCATTCTCGAGGCTTTCTTATTACAAAGAAGAAAAAAATTTCAACAAAACTTAATGAAACATGATCGAGTCTGACAATACGTAGTATTTCACACTTACAGTCTCCCACCTTTGCAAAGAAGGGAAAAAGAAGATGCATTCTCAGATCTCCTCTTTGGGATCATTCTTGCTCATTATAGTGTCACAGTATTCAATTTTGTTTTGTTGTTGTACTTATTGTATATGTTGTTTTCTGGCTCTGCTTACTTCACTTTGTTATTTTTGAATTTGAGTATTTTTTCCTAATTACATGTAAAAACAATTTTAATCTTCATTTTTTTTTTTTTTACAATTTTGAGTTCCAAATTCTTTCCCATCTTCCCTCTCCTCCCTTATTATTGAGCAGGCAAGCAATTTGATAAAGGTTATACATGTGTAGCCATGCAAAACATATTTCCATATTAGTCATGTTGTGAAAGAAAATGCAGACAAAAAACCTGAGGAAAAATAAAGTTAAGAAAAATGTCAGTCCTCATGACTATCTTTGCATCTTCCATGTCCCAGGGTCTTAAAAAAGATTTGTTCCTTCATTTTCTATATAACTTCACATTTTCTTTTGCAATATTTTTCTTTAAGCTACACAAGTTGTGTTGTATGTATATTTGCTTTCCCAAGGAATAGGAAATCACTGCAATAATACAATTTTAAAAGCATCAGTAAAGAGTGTTGAGTCAGTCAATACATAGGCTGGGTACTATTGGACAGTAATCTCTTCTTGATACTCAAGGAGAGAAAGTGAGAAAAGGGAAAAGTTGGCTCCTTTGTACGAAGTGGAGGGGAGGATTGAGCTATAGTAGAAACCTGACTGTCCAGATCATGTAGAATGAGACATAACCCAAAACATACACAAATCTTGATTGTTCTGGCTATCCAACATTCCCAGATATCAGCTCTTGCATTTCCTTTGCCACCTGGCCTTGCTTACAATCTGAGCATTGCTCAAAGCCACCCTGAATGGCTGTTAGAGCCCGCTGTTAGGCTGTTCATTCAACTGATCCTATTCAACTATAAAGGACACAGCTGGGTGGTTCAGTGGGTAGAGTTCAGGGCCTGAAGTCAGGAAGACTTGACTTCAAATCCAGCCTCAGACACTAGCAGCATGACTGTGGATGAGTCACTTAACTTTGTTTGCCTCAGTTTCCTTATCTGTAAAATGAGTTGGAGAAGGAAATGGAAAAACCACTCCACAAAAACCTCAAAAGAGATCATGAAAAGTTGGATGTGACCGAAAACAGCTAAACAATAACACAACTTCTAGACTCTTCCCTTTAAGTGATATGACACCTCTTGTTTCATTGCTTTCTTATGTAATGCCCATGAATTGATTAAAAAAGAGAAGCTGAGTCTGCAATTAATTAAAAATAATAAGAATAACATTGAGATCTGGGAAGATACCCAGTTTCTTTGGTAGGCACCTTAATGAGTCTTCACATCCCAGAGATAGAAGAGGCCTCAAGAATTCATCTGGTCTAACTCCCTGCCTAGTGGTTGACTCCACTTGACAGCATTCTTGAATGAGTGGTTACTGTAGTCTGAAAATCTTCTGTGATGTGGAACTCATTCCCTCCCTAGACAAGACAATTCACAGTGGAACA